CAAAGTTTTTGGCAACGTCATATGTAAGGGAAATTCCAGACACTGCGCGGCAAATGACATGGCCAAATTGGCCAAATAACAAACTTAAGAGCAAAACATTTGAAGAGCCGAACAACTGTAAACACTTCCTTTGCGCCGGTTGTCTTTTCTTTCTTTTATTTCATTTTTTGCCTAACATAGGGACACAGCCCAAGTCAAGCCCAACTCAGCGTCAAGGGAGGCGTGGCTGCGGCACTGGCACTGGCACTGGCACATATCCAATTTTTATGCCCAATTCGAATAACCTTCGCCTTGCCAAGCGGAAATGGAAACAGAAACAGAAACAGAAACTGAGGCAATTGGCATGGGCTGGACTGGGAAAATCAAAGGACAGCATCGGCAGCTGCCATGGCAGGCGCTTATTTAGCCAGCTAGAAGGGAAGACGATAATGATGAATGCGATGGGTCAAAGACGAAATTGAGAGAAACCTAAGAGCTGCAGGACAACAACAATAACAACAACAACAAAAAGACTAAGGCCTGTCAGGCATTAGGTTATACGAGCTGAATCTCTCGGTTTAGTAAATCAAATACGCTTAAACTGATCAAAATAAAAAATAAAATACAAAAACTAGAGAATTCGCCGGACCACGCCCACTTGAAACGGACAGTTGCCGACAGGCAAATGGCATACAAAGGATGTGTTTGGCTCCAGCTGCCTGCCGCCTCCTGCACTGGCTACTCCTCTCTCAAGTTGTTTGCTAAACAACCTTAAACAGGAAAAGTGGACAAAAACACATGTGAGCCTGGATTAGTGGACAGTGATTGACTAGCAGATACCCTGAAAACCGTGATATAATCGAGTTTTCAATTTGAGGATAATCTGAAAAGGAGAAGGAATAAACTAAAGCTAGTCCAAGTCTATAAAAGCTGATAGTTCAGATGATAAAATCTTACTGATGAAAACTATTATCTATACAATATATAGGCACGACTCTTGAAGCTGCTATCAGTGCTAATATCCTTCTGTTAGTCACAAACATTTGCAGAGAATTAATATATCCTGTTTACTAATTTTTATTAGGGTATAAAAAAGAGCTTAGATTACCGTTTTTATTTGACTTTGGGGACAGTCGCTGATGTCGGCGAAGGGCTTGACACAAGCTGTATAATATTTCTGATATGCACTAAGGGAGGCAAACAAAGAGAGGAAAGAGAAACAGAAAGAGAGAGAGAGAGAGAGAGAGATAGACAAAGACTAGCAGCAGATAAGGGACTAGCCCACAAGACACAGGATTTGCCAACAGGCACCAGGCAGGCCAGTCTAATATTTACACAACTGGGATTTGAGATTTGTGAACCGACAACAACAAAAAAAAAGGGACATAGTAGCAAAGGAGCAGAGGGAGTGGGGACATGCAGGGCATTTTATTTAAATTTCGTTTATTTAAGTTGATTTGGCGAGTAAATTAGTTGGACCCAAACAGAGTTTGAAATGAAAATGTAAACGATTGCACGCACACCTTCAGCAGCAGCAGTCTGCGAAGTCTGTTGCTGTTGCAGTCTGTGGCTTTAATTGCTCTCGAGCTCAACAAACGGAACAGGGGCAGAAGCAGCGGCAGAAGCAGCTGAAGTCCCGTTCAACCCTTTAACAAAGAAAACGTGCAAATTATTGCGACTCAGAATTGGGTCACTCGGGTTGGGCTTGCCCCATGTCCCTCCATTGTTGCGCTGATTGTTACGCCTGTTTGTTATTGTTGTTCATGTTCATAGCCCCAACCGAGAGGGGTGGCTCCGTTACCAGCCTGCGCTGCGCAGGGGTTAACGGGATTCTGAGGATTTTTCATTAAATATTTAAATCTAGCTTCTTGCCTAGTTCAATTGCTGAACTGGAAACACGTTATGCTGCCATTTGCATAAAGCAGCCCTTGGTCTAGAGAGGGGCATGGGGAGGGTAAAACGTTTTCTCAGCTGTTTGCTTTCCTTTGGTGTTCGTAATCGTGATTCAGATACTCAGTTTGCCTACTGAGCCCCCTCCACCCCAATTTCTTTGCTCATTATTATGAGTTGATCAAGTTGTTTGTTGCAAATGAGTCCAAATTTCAGCGAAGAAGCAGAGAGGGAGGGAGGGAGAGAGAGAGAGAGAGAGAGAGAGAGAGAGAGAGAGCGAGACAGCAGTGGAAATGTGTTTGCATCAAAACAAATGCATTTTTATACATCTGCGGGTATCACTCTCTCTCTCTCTCTCTTTCTTTTTCTCTCTCATACACACACGTACATATACATTTCTATATTGTTACGTGACTCGCCTTCGCATCTGGCATTCCTGCTTGGAGTCTTGCTCCCTCTCTACCCGCAGACTACGTCACTTCGCACTCTTCACTCTCCACTCTTCTTCGTTTTCAATTCCCTCTACCATTTGACTCCTTTCTCTAGTAATTTACGCCTCATCCCGGCCCCGCCAAACACTCAGTTACACTCTCCCCCCCAGCCACTCTCTGGCGCTGAGTGGTTTGCGCCAATTTTTTTCATGTTTTCATGCGTGTTGTGTGTGCGAAACCAAAACTAGTTGCACTAGCTGGGATATGATATACTAGCATATACCCTGTATGCTAGGCGTTTGGTGGAAATATAATATTCAGGTTTTACCATGTACATATACATATATTTAAATAGCATTAAGAAGCTATTCAAGAAATGCTCTTATTTATATTACGCCAGCTGGCAAAGTTAAATTTTTGAGTTGACCTTAATATAAAATTCATTTTAATCTCTAATATTAACTAAAATATTTTCTAGAAATTGCATAAACTTGGCTAAGCATCGACACAAAAAATGCTTTAATACACCCCATTTGTTTACCACATAAAAGCATAGCACAATTCAGCAAATCCTTATACAGTAACAACAATAACAAGAAGAAGCTCAACAATGACGACGCTGATTGTAAAAATGTGTAGCGGAAAAACAACAACAGCAAGAAAACCAAGAAAAACAATGGCAACAATGTGCGAAGTCAAGTGCCTGACTAAGGCAATCATCTATGTGTATGTGTGGGTGTATAAATGTCTGTGTGTGTGTGTGTGTGTGCCATATTTCATTACATAACTGTAGTAGGCACTTCTGCTTACACTTCTGCCGCTGCCTCAGCCGCTGCCTCGGCCTCTGCCTCTGCCACTGCCTTCGCCTGAGCTTGTTCTCTTTCTTATTCTTGTTTTCCTGCAGCAACTTCGGTTTCCGTTTTGCTATCGAGTATTCACGCCTTAAAGTAGACTTTGTTTTGTTTATTCGCTTTTCCCCACTTGGCTGCGATAATGAAAAGCTGCCGCTTGGCCAACAGCCTCAACACGCCTGCTTATTGTTTGTTTGCTGGCCAACATTTTGCTGGTTGTCATAGCATTAATTTCGGCCTAATGGCTGCATAGAAATTATGAAACATGAGCATTTCCATTTCAATTGAATTTATTATTGATAAGAATTTTCACTAGAAGCGGAATCCACGAGGCCATAAATAAAGTGCGAGAATAGAGTGCGAGAATCGCTTGAGGGCTTTATTAAATATTCTTTTCAGAATAAAAACAATTGTTTTGCATTAGATCATCGTTGTTTATGTGTTGTGCATTCAAACTTTGCATAAACAATAAAAGTTCAAAACAGAAAACATACGTTTTCAGCGCCAAGCGAACATCTGCTTGTAAACAGTGTGTGAAGACCGAGTTAAAGAAACACAGACAGAGCGAAACAGAGCTAGAGAGGGGGGGCAGATTTGTGAGTATGTGTGTGGCATCATAAATTCCAGCATGAGTACAACAAATTCCGCATGTGGAAATAAATAAATGTGTCAAGAGTGGAAAATGGCGACGAGCAGTGGAAGCACTGGAAGCATGCGCCGTTAGCTTTGGCGCATGACGCATGCAAAACGGAGCAGAGGCAAATGCAATCCACACACAAAATGCAATCCACACACAAACGCACAGGCATTTCAATGCACACACAGTACACCAGGGCAGATGAGTAAATATATATGTATATAAATAAACACTCTGACACATACATATGTATGTATTTACATAAAAATCCACACATACATACATACATACCATACATATATTCAATATGGAAATTAATCCGCATAATCAATGCGCGCGCGTGGCTTCAACTTTAACTGTTCGAAGCGAAAGAGTGGGAGCGAGAATGCCAGACAGAGAGAGAGAGAGAGAGAGAGAGCGAAGCAATTCAACAAAATTCTAATTTCAATTTTGAATATGCTGCGCTTGGCGAGGATTACGCGCGGCTTATACCAGAAATGCATTATGGCCACACCCTCACTCACTCTCTGCATGCATGTGTGTGCGCGTGTGAGTGCTTGTCCCCTGCGACCTTTCCTATTGAAAGTGCAAGGACAGCCTCGCACTGACAGCCGAGCATTTACCATGCACCATGTCGATATCGACGAATACCAAAATAAACAAAATAAGAAAAAAAGAAGAGCATAAAAAAAACAATTTAAAATAAGAGCCAGAAAATATTGCACATATTTTGCCTCACACTGTGTGGAGAGAGCAAAGGGTTAGATATGCGATGAACAGATGTACAAATGAGCATGACTGCAAGTGGGAGAGGGACGGGCGTGGAGTGGAGAGTGTAGAATACCAAAAGCGGCTGCTGCACGTGCACTCATGCAGACGGAACAGCAGCAGCAGCGAATACAGAAGGAATGCGAAGCAAAACAAAAGTCGAAGTGGAGTTCAACACACACACACACACACATAGATACTAATATGTTATTCATATACATATGTATTTGGAATTGCAAGCATGCTTTCATTTGGTTCTTCTGGCAATGGCTTTGTGCGTGTTTGAGTGAGAGAGAGAAATAGAAATAAAGAGGAATTCATTCTTTAAAGCAAAGTGGCGCTAAGTGTGTGCGTGTAAGTGTGTGGGTGTGGTTGTGGATGTGTGCCGCAACTGGCAAATTGGCAGCCCGCAGCATAAAATGAGCAAAGTAGAAAAGAACTTACCTTATAAACATCGCCATAGGTGCCAGAGCCAATTTTCTGTATGAGATCGTACTCGTCCTGCGGATTGCGCCGGGATATGTCCGAGCTGAGCAAATTGGCATTGTGGTGACTGTGAGCAGCGGCCATGACGAGAGCGGAATTCACTAGGCAGCAGCGCTCGCTGCCTGCCTATCTGTCTGTCTGCCTGTCTTTGTCTTTGTCTATCTCCCTCTATGTCCCACTGTCTCTATCTCTCTCTTTCAGTATTTTATGTTGTGCTTTTTGCAAGTGGCGCTGCCTTTACTGTTAWTATTGTTGTTGTTGTTGCTGCTGCTGTTGTTGTGGTAAGTAGTGGATCAATTTCAAATATCGTAAAATTTCAGAATTTGTTGCATTTTCGTTGTGGTGCGTAGGGGAGGGGGTGATTTGGAAAACTTCTCGAAGTAAAATATATGTGTGCTTATATGCAAAGTTGCGTAACGGTTAACAATTGCCGTATTTATAGAACTGGAATTTCAATTAATATTGAGAATTAGCTTTTAACACACTAACACACACGCACACACACATGCATAACAAAATATTGGTCATCTCTTTGCACGCAGAAATAATCATAAAACGGAATAGAACAGAATCGAAGCGAAATTAAAGCGCACACAGCAACAAAACAGCAACAACAACAACAGTAACCGCATCAACAACAACAACAATGATAGTCAAAATAATGATAAACGCGACGGCGTTAGCGTTGGCGTTGCACTGTGAGAGAGAAAGCGAGAGCGGCGGCGGCCGCGGCCACGGCAGAGGCGTCGACAACGGCGTCGCGGTCGCAAAAGTGGAAAAACAAGTGGCAGTAGCAGCGGCGGCAGCTGCGACGACTGCGACAGCGGCGAAAACGACCAAAAATTGTTCGCTTAATATTTTTTGAAATTTTATTTGTTTTTAACATTTGTTATCTGTTGGCCACTTTTGTGTGTGTGTCGCCTTATTAATTTAAACATTTATATATTTTATATATGCTAATATAAAAATATAAACAGATGCCAATTGGAAATATATATCGCACTAACACACGCGACAGACACGGCGGCGTTGGCAGGCACACACACGCACTCACATGCATATATACGCAATCATAGACCGACACACGCACACATACAGACAACGCGCAAACAGACAACGCGACAACAACACAAAAACAAGGCAACGGCGACAGCAAAGTCTACTGCGGCTTGCTTCTCTTCTTCTCTTCAGCTTTTTGTGCTGCTGCTGCTGCTGCTGCTTTTCGGCCGTATGATTTTGATTCCATGTCGCGTCGCAGTCGCAGTCGCGAGGCGTGTCTGACGTTCTGTTGGCCACTAACACGGTACGCACGCGATATTTGTTGTTGCTGCTGTTGTTGATGCCAGCTAATAAGCTGGCATTGGCACAATGCGATCAATGCACTGAAATCCACACGTGCTTACTCGATTAACTTTTTTTTTTGTTGTATATTTATTCCAATTTAATGAATAATTTTTACGCACTACAAACGCACACACTCGTTCAGAACACAAATAACATACGCGACCGACCGACCGACGAGTGCAGCGCAAGAACAAATACAAATACAATGCGCGCACCTACATTTTTTTAACCAGGTTTCACGTGCTCAAAAGGAGCTGTTAAATAGCATGTTGAGAAAATGTTGCCAAGATGACGAGCAATGTTTGGCCACATGTTGCCGAACGAACAGTGTTGCTAATAAGATATGTTTTCCATGAAACTACTTTTTGTTTCTTTTATATTCTTAAATATAATCAAATTACAATATTACTTAAAAGCTGGGCATGTAAACCTTTTTGCAGCTTGCAAGAGTTTCTTCTTTCTTATTGTCACTATTGTCATTACAGATGTTAACACAAGCCGCTGTTGTGCTCAACTGGTAGTGTTAGTAACAATCGATGTGGCTGTTGGGTTAACATATATTCGATTGTTGCCCAAGCAGCTGTTCAGCTTTAGCGTTGCCATCTGAATTGCCCGTTAAGTGTGACCAATAATTATGATTCGAATTTCGCTTTTTGCCATTCAATTTTTATTCAAAAATTTATTCAGATTTGCACAATTATTATTCGTGATGGTAAAAATACAAAATATCCAAGTTCTTTGTAATAATTTGCAGTAAAGTTAGGAAAACAGTTTAAAAATAAACCCAAATTATTGCACTCGAATATAAAATAAATAACATAATTAAGTATATATAGATTATAGGTTTATAAATTGTTTGTAGTTTGTTTCTTTCTGATTTTATGGTTTCAATATTTTTAGACGACTTCTCTTTCGCTCAATATGTATAAATTGCATACTATTTTTAATTATATATATTATTTCGATTCGAATTTGTTTTATTGTAGGTTTCCTTATAATTTCCTGCTACGATCCGCAGCAGTTAGATTTAGTTTCGTTCTGTGAAAAGAGAATTAAAAATAGATTAGATACATAGATAAATAGAAAAATGATTATTAATAACAAATTGACTAACAACAGAGGGAATTCTTAAAAATACTATAACACAACGAACTACAGGCGGCAGCTAAATCAAAAATTTAATTATAACAGTAACAAAATTAAAATTATTCAAAAAAAATAAAATAAGAAAATTTCAAATAACATTCAAATAATCCATTTGAAAATAAAACATTCTCATTAACATACAAAAATCTTTTTTCAAGCGATGCTAAATCATTCGAATTTTCATTTTATCGATAAAAAGGAAGTAAAGTTTGTTTTTGTTTTGGCTGTTATTTGAAAAGGCTGTTATTTATTGTAAATTGTTAACTGTTAACTGGAAGATTAGCATGCGTGCAGCTGCAATTCTTACCCATTGTCCAAAATTAGTGAACGATAACGGAAGATCTGAACAATTGGCCTAAAAAAATATTCTCCCTGCTCTCTATACATATGTATATATCGCGTGAATGTTGAACATAAACTGATCTTGACGTCAAAATGTATATTTTATTATAAATTACTTAATTCTGTTGCTGCTCTTTTCTTCTTCATTATAATAAAACATTTATTTTTATATATTTGTGCGCTTAAAACTTTACTGATCAATCGGCATCCTGTGTCCATGTTTTGAGTGAAATAGAAAAATGTGTGAAATTATGTTAGAAGACTGTGTAACAACAAAAATGAATTCGGGTATTATAGTGCTTTATGTTTCTGTGTGTGTGAGTGTTTATAGATGTATAGATAAGTTAACAGATGAATGTATGCAACTACTAGTTTTATGGCTGTGTGAGAGCTTGTACATGCTTGTCTGCCTGTGCGTGTGTGTGTGTGTAAGCATGCTCTGTGTGTTTATGTGTGTATGTGAGTAGATCAATGCATGTAATGAAAGCTGTGTGGATTGCAAATGGAGTAAATACGGATGTTCGTGTGTGTGTATGTGTGTGTATTGCTTAATATATAGAAAAAAAGAGACAACATTAGAGTAAAGGACACGCGTAAAGAGGATGCGTAATATACTTAACAGTACTTATGTATGTTAAAGCAGCTGTATAATAAAAATATGACCAAATTCAGACTAAAGCCCTCCGCTAAAATAGAAAATAACTTTAATTTCAAATTAATTATAAGATAACAGAAAATTGTATAATTTTGACGTCAAATCTTAAAAAATATATATTAAAAAAAAAAAAAAAAAAAAAGTAAAAGAAACTCAAATTTGTAATAATTGCAAATAAAATGTTGTAAATATTCAGGAGCATTTAAGCGGACATTACAATAGAAAATAGAGATAGAAATAAAATATTATTCAATGTTAAGTATTCATATTGGATATTTAAGTGTAAGTTATGTTAACTATAGAGTCAAATCTCGCTCTGTGAGTACCGGATATGAGGTTCTAAATTGTCAATTGGGCAAGGGCAGGGTAACGTTTGTTCGTGTGTGTGTGTGTGTGTGGGTGTGTTTAAAAGAAGAGAGAAATAAAGAACGAAAAACAATAAATTAGTACTTCAATTACTAAAGCCAACCACCGTATATAAACGATATAATTATATATGGATATATTCAACTGAAGTGTATTATATATGTAAGCGATCGGCAATTGAAATGGACAACTTACAGTTCCATGGAGAGCACCGTAGGATTGGGACACGCCTGTGGAGCACGGACGTGACATTGCTTGTGACATATCAACTGGCAGTCGCGGCACTCGTAGCCCTGCTTGCCCGGCCGCCTGGGTATGGACTTCATGCAGATCGAGCACTGCAAGCCACCACTGTGGATTGGAAGATGTTAACAAGATGTTAGATTAGGGACAGAGAGTACAGATGGAATCACTCTTTGATGTCTCTATTATTATCTGTCTCTTTGATTTCTCACACACTCTCTCTCTTACTCTCTCTCTCTCATTCCCCTTACACTCTGCTTGCTTCTTCTCTTATATTTTCCTCCTTCAACAGAAGTAGAGAGACTTCTGTAACTCCTCTGCTCCACTCTTCGCTCTCTCATTTATCACACAGGCTTCTATCATAATCTCCTCTTAGGTTTAGACTCTCTCTTGCAGTCCTCTATCTCTCTCATTTTTCTCTCAATCATCTTTCACATTTTTTGCTTATTTCTTCCAGTCTCATCTCTCACGCTCCTCCCGTCTCTCACTCACTCTTCCTCTATCTCTCTGTGCGACTTACCCGCTCAGATGTTTGGCTATGAAGGTGTGATCGTTATAGATGTGCAGCTTGGTGCCCTTGCGACGCCAACGAGGCCTCTGTGCAATGGCCAGTGGGACGATGAAATGTCTGGAAGCAGATATCAAATCATTAGTAAATCATTAAATATATCAAATGAATTTCAGTCGATAGTATCCGACTGATAATATATTATGTACAAAGCTCTTAGCTCTTCATGACCAGATTATCACATCGATTTTTATCGATTATATCGAGTATCGATAAGCTTAAGCATAAACTTGATCTACGAGAATTGCTTGATAGGATTGACTTAATAGATTACTCTTATCAGACATCTATCGCTTTTCCTTTAGTCATCTATATAGATTCTTGACTCTAATCGAAAACTAATCTAAATAAAATTCGTATTCATGCTAACCGTTTAACGCCATTCTCCACAGTTTCCAGGACCAAGGTGGACGCCTCGTGTACGTAGGTCTTGTTGCTAGCCGAGGAGAACCCGGAGATGGCTGAGGATTCTGAAATTGAAGAGCGTCGTGAGTGGTCGGTGATGGAGTTACCAATGCCCATGCGGGGTCCTTCAATTGCAAGTTGTTGTTGTTGTTGTTGCATTTGTTGTTGTTGATGATGATATATATTTGGTAGTTGTTGTTGTGTTGTTGTTGTTATTGTTGCAGTTATATAAGATATTTATATAATAAGATCCACACACACCAAACACCCGAATACACCAAAATATATATGAAAATAAATAAATATAAAAGAAGAACATAATTTTAACCAAATGAACAAAAAAAAAATTGCATAAGGAAAATAATTTATAATAATAAAATTCCGTTTTTGTGTTCAGTTCAACAGGTGTGTTTGTGTTTGTGTGTAGGTGTGTGTGTGTGTGTGTAAGACACATATTAGATACATAGAAAGTATTAAACAAGAGGTACATACAGATTTTCAAGTTTACGTGCGGGAAAACAGTTTTTGGTTTTGGTTAGCGTTGGGGGGGAGAGAAGTAGAATAAAGAACGGTAAAAGTATAGTTAAGGACATAACACAAGAACGAATGAGACATACATGTGTATGATATATGATATGATACACAAATATATAGATGCTAGGTAGAGTCTTGAATTTTTGAGCATATTAATAAAAAAAATTAATTTAGATATGCTAAAATAAACATAATTTAGTTGCTTCAACTTGGGCAATTGTAGGTGTAAATATTTTTAGCAAGCAAATGCA